CCATGTGAAACGTCTTCCGCTCACATTGTGTTATCCACTTGACGCCAATTATTTCATTCTCTCCATGTAAAACGTCTTCCGCTCACATTGTGTTATCCACCAGATGCCAATTAGATCATTGTCTCCATGTGAAACGTCTTCCGCTCACATTGTGTTATCCACCAGATACCAATTAGAGATCATTGTCTCCATGTGAAACGTCTTCCGGTCACATTGTGTTATCCACCAGATACCAATTATTTCATTGTCTCCATGTGAAACGTCTTCCGCTCACATTGTGTTATCCACCAGATGCCAATTAGATCAATGTAGGATAAAGGCAGACATTAAAATTCCAAAAGAATTGATTACCCTCACCTCACAGGTTATTGAAACTAGAACTACACAAATCATATGGGGTAATTGAATAAATAGATTACGTACACCCCTGCTGTGATTAGTACCATACAAGTAAAATATATATATAAATATCATCCCATTGTTTTGCCCACTGCTCTTCAACTTCTTGAGAACTACAAGTTTCTTGCTGCAAAATAATTTGGTTATCTTTATATTGTTTATAATATACCCCCTCACATTAAGTGAGAGTAATTTAATTAAGAGATCATTCATGGCAAGCTATATGCCATGCCTTAATTGGATTACTGTATACCAGATCATAAACAAAAATACAAAAATAATTGAGAGATTGAAAAAGATGTAGTAGCATTATATTATGACATAAGACGTGATTGTACATGACCTACAACTATTATCATTAGTATTTAAGCGTCTTTACTAGATTTTTTTAAGGAGCAGGATGATTGTAAGTAAGTTTATTCCGCGATTGTATGTACTTGTATTTTGTATTGAATTATACTCAGATCTTCAAGTGTACTTTCACATTTATCTGAATTGGATAATTCTGTAATAAATAACTATAATACTTTGTTGAATTCCAATTACAAATAGTGCAATATATATGAAATCTTATGTATTAAGATTAATTGTATTATCCGTGTTAACATTAAGCTACAAATATCAGTAAAGTACACCTAGCACTAATTGTAACCATGAGGCATTTTTCACTGATATCTCACTCATAAATATATGGATAATGTCGTATCAGTGTGAATTGCAATAAAATTCTAAATTTATGGCGGACCATTAATTACTAATTACCAAATTACAAAGTACACAAATACATTACTAATTGCAGAGTACGCAAATACATTACTAATTACAGAGTACGCAAATACATTACTAATTACAGAGTACGTAAATACATTACTAATTAGAGAGTACACAAATACATTACTAATTACAGAGTATGCAAATACATTGCTAATTACAGAGTACGCAAATACATTACTAATTACGGAGTACGCAAACAACCTATGCCCGCTGCCCTTCCTCTATATACTGTCCAACCTGAAACTAGTATTACATTATTACTAGTCTGGGGTCCAACCAATGAAACAAACACAGATATAAGTTTAATTTTAATTTGTCACCTATGTACTATAGTAAACATTTTCGCTGGATTGAAATACCTGATACAAGGTTAGAAAATTGAACTATATATTAATAATAATAATAATAATAATAATAATAATAATAATAATAATAATAATAATAGTTTATTTATTACGCAACTGTAATCTGCTGTGGATACAGTAAGGTAAAAATAGTTAAAATAAAGCAACTAAAAATAACTACATATGTTTTTGATTTGTTTACTATGTCAACTATTTATCATGAGCTTTAAATAAAGTATTAAATACAGAAATTTAATTTCTATTTTTTTTTCGCAATTTAAAATAAAGTTTGATATCGCTTGTTGAACCAAAAACACTAGAAAATACATATAAATACATATATTTTCTAGTGTCTGGTTGAACAAAATTTGTGATACGTTTCAGATAAATGTGCGCCACCAACGTTCAGCATGGTTAAGAAAATGGCGGCGTCCGTGCTTCAGGTAAAATGTTGTTTTCTTCTGTGATCGATCGATTTATGATAAGTTATAGACTCCGTACTCTTATTCCCCTCAGCTTGAAAAATAGTTTATTGTTGTTGATCGATTTAAAATATAAAATTCCAACTATTTCATCGAAATTCGATCTAAAGTTGGTCTGGCCATTTGTCTTTGTCCCACGGACACAAAAAAAAACAGGCACCATTTGGTTCACGAGTTTAGGAGCAGCAGTCTATGGCAATAGCGATTTGTTGTGCATACTAGTTTGCTGAACTACCAGCGGCATCTCCAAGCTAGCAGACTTCGGATGAAAGGCGTCGATGCCATTGTCATTGCTTTGTGACTCGTGGTTTTGCTGCAGTTCGTATTTAGGGATGAGCAGAGCTTATCATAGCCCTGCGTACAGTGCTGTGTGTACGGAGACGCGTTCGGTTCATAGATGTCCCCACCACAGCCCTGCGAACTTCCATAGACAAAGTCCGGGACTTTGAAAAATATAACTTTTTTAATGAAATAACATGACCAGGTACCCAAAATGATGATCGATTACAAGATATATCCAGAACTCCAGTTCGGAGTCCAATTGTGGATGAAATCGGCTACTTTGCCCTAAAAACAAACGCATTCTCTCGCGTGAATGAAATAAAAAATGGCGGCGTTTGGTGGATAATTCCTCCGCGTTTACAATTTGACCGTCT